TTTTTCTTTTTTTTTCTTTTGTTTTTCCTTTTTTTTCCCCTGCCTTGTTTTTTGTTTTTTGTCTTTTTTGTGTTTTGATTTTTTCTTTTCCCACTGGTGTGGGCATGTGTTGTTTATGTAACAAAATAAAAAAAAAATAATATTAAAAAAAAGAAAGAAAGCACTCCTGTGCTCTGACTCCCCTTTTTTCACTTTAAACCAGGGGTATCCAACCTTGGCATTTTAACAACTCCTAGAATTTCCCAGCCAGCATTCCCGGGAGTTGAAGTCCATACATCTTTAAGTTTCCAAAGTTAGACACCCCTGCTTTAAATCAGACCTGGCTGGAGCCTAGAGTTACATTTATGAACAAGGCAGACATTTTTAACATGAAACTCCAAAAGAGTCCAATCAGGGAAAGGAATATAAACCTAATGTTTATTTATTTATTTTTCAATTTCTATGGCCACCCATCTCAAACAGGTTTATATAATGCTAATAATACTAACATAGAATTAAGCATAGAAGCTTCATGCTCTTCTCCAGAGCACCGAGAATCTTTCGGCCTCCGCTGCACTTCGTCTTGATGATGTCGCCGCAGCTGCCAGGCACAGAAGGACGGAGGTAGCCAGAGACGCGTCAAGGCAGCCTGGCGGGCAAGTGAACCAGGATCAGGCAACCTGATCCTGCATTGCTTGTTCACTGGCTTGCCGCCGGGCTGCCTTGGCGCCACGCTGGCTACCTCCGTCCTTCCATGCCTGGAAGCTGTGGCGACGTCATCAAGACAAACTCCAGCAGAGGCAGAAAAGTTCTCAGTGCTCCCAAACTTCGTCTTGATGATGTCACCGCAGCTGCTGGGCGTGGAAGGACAGAGGTAGCCAGAGCCACACTGAGTCAGCCCAGCAGGCGAGCGAGTGAGCGAGCGAGGATCAGGCAGCCTGATCCTCCCTTCCTCCCTTGTTCTCTCACCGGGAAGAGCGGAGAAGAGGGAGAAGTACAGCAGAGGCAGGAAGGTTCTTGGTGCTCTGGGAAGCCGCAAAAGCGACTGGGGAGTTCCAAGAACCTTCCTGCCTCCGCTGTACTTCACGCTCTTCTCTGTGCGCTCCTCACAACTGCAATAGACATCTAAAAGCGGCTTTTGTGGCTAATGGGGTTTGGGCTTCCAGCCCGACAGCCCCCGCCACTTCTGGATGTCTATTGCAGTCCCAAGGAGCGTGCAAAGTGCAGTGGAGGCAGGAAGGTTCTCAGCGCTCCCAAGTCACTGTCATGGCTTCCCAGAGCACCGCGCTCTTCTCCGCATGCTCCTCCGCGCTCTGAGAAGCCGCGAAAGTGACTGGGAGCGCCGAGAACCTTCGACCCTCTGCCGGTTGCCAGTTGTCCAGCTGGCATGGCCCCACACGTGTGCCTCCTCCTCATCCCTTCTCCTCCTCTTCACTCCCCAAAGGCTCTACTCCTCCTTACCGGACCTCAACAGGAGCCGGGCACAAGGGATGGGAGGAAAACCACACCTTGGAAAACTTCGCTGGGAACGGAGACGGGGAAGCAGTGGGGGGCGGGGATGCCCTGGAACGCCCCCATGCTTTGCTGGCGGCCACACTTCCTAGGCAAGTTCTGGGAGGTCCTTGGAGGCCGGCTGAACCACACAAGCTACCGCCCATGAGCGGCGATGGAACGGGCGGGGCAATTGAGCAAGGGGGCAGGGCAGGCGCTCTGTGACGAACCTCTTCTAACCGGTACGGTAGATTTCTGGAAGCTCTTCTACCGAAGCGGTCAGTACTGGCAGGAACCCACCCCTGCTGTGTGTGCTTCCTGGATTTGACTGCTGCAACAAACTATGACACTGTTATTATTGCGAAGGTAAAGATATCCTGAGACCAAAAACTTTGAAAACCACTGGTCCAACCCAGAAAAGATGAAAGGATAACACACTCATTGGCGCATAATAGATTAACAGAGTTGGAAGGGATCTTGGAGGTCTTCTAGTCCAAACCCCTGCTCAAGCAGGAAACCCCAAACTATTCCATACAAATGGTTGTCCAATCTCTTCTTTAAATTCTCCAGTGTTAGAGCACCCACAACTTCTGGAGGCAAGTCGTTCCACTGGTGAATTGTTCTAATTGTCAGGAAATACCATTAGCCATGAAGAGGCCAGATCTTGAAGATGAAGCTAAAATACTTTGGCCACCTAATGAGAAGAAAGGACTCCCTGGAGAAGAGCCTAATTCTGGGAAAGATGAAGAGCAAAAGAAGAAGGGGACGAGAGAGAACGAGGTGGCTGGATGGAGTCACCAAAGCAGTCAGCATGAGCTTAAGTGGACTCCAGAGGATGGTAGAGGACAGGAAGGCCTGGAGGAATGTGGTCCGTAGGGTCACGATGGGGCAGACACGATTTTGCAACTAACAATAATGTTAGCCACTTTTCTTCAACATAGATAACGATTTACCTAGACCCCCCCCCCCCTTCCCCATTAGCATCCCACATACTTATTTCTCTGGCTCTCATGCTCCGTGATTCCCCAGCGCAAATCAATCTCCTGGATCGCCAAGCAGAACCTGGCGGCTCGTGCGCGAAGCTCAGGAAAAACGGAGCGAATAAGAAGGTCACGTTCACCGTGCATGTCCCGGAAAGTAGAGGAGACGAAAATCCTCACAGAGCGCCACCTGCGGGAAAACAGGAGTCCAATACCCAATTCTCCATCCAGAGTAACTTGTGGTCTTTCTCATTACTTCCCCATTAAAACTACCTGCTCTGGGGCACGGGTACCAAGGACACAACTCCAGGTTCCTGCTGATCTGTCGCTGTTCTCTGTTGCGGGGGCAAGCCGTGAATCTCGTCAACTTTGCCAACATGTTCCAAGAATCGGGAATTGCCACATTCAGACATAAACCTGGCCAAAGTAAGAAGAGTCTTTTAAAATCTAGAATTTTCCAGCAGATACTAAAGCAGTGATTGCTAACCTTTTTGTCGTGTGCCTACAGCCATAAGGCAATGCACGTGCACCCCACTGCACTCCCTTCCCCCCATGCGCATGCACACACGACCCCCTCTGTACTCCCCCGCCACCCTGCTTATGGGCCCCTCCTTGCCCATTTTTTGCCACCAGATTGGTGTAGGAGTCTTTCCAGACCCAAAAGAGAACACACAGGGACGATATGCACCCACCCATGCCCTGTTTTGGGTCTGGAAGGCCTCCTGCACCGACCCAGAAGCCAAAACGGGATGGGGGGACAACGTGTGGTGCCCCGAAATGCAATGCGAACACGCACACACACACATGCATGTGCCCTTCCCCCCATGCATGTACATGCATATCCGCCACTTGCAGCCTGCTCCCCCCACTCATGCACAGACAAGCTGGTTGGTGGACCTGGGCTGGGGCGACAACTGGCATGCCCCGCAGAGAGGACTCGGTGTGTCACCCGTGGCATGCGTGCCATATGTTTGCCATCACGGCACTAAAGCATACACCCTTTGGCTACCAAGAATTCTGCTTTTGTTCCAAGTGCTTCTTTAAACAGCCACTAGCTATCAATGCTCAATTTTTGCCCTTGTGACGCAGTGGTAGAATGCAGCATGGCAGGCTAGCTATGACCAAAAAGCATGCTGATTAGACAGAATGACAGTGAAAACATGGAAAATAAGCCTGCACATAGTTAAAGGCAGTCCTGGAATTATAGCTACTTGTTCTGCAGCCATTCAAAGTTACAACGGCACTGAAAGAGTGGTACCTATGACCAAGAGTCTTGGTGCCACAGTGGTTAGAATACCATATTGCAGGCTAACTCTGCCCACAGCCTGGAGCTCGATCCCAACGGGCTCAGGGTTGACTAACCCCTCCATCCTTCTGAGGTTGGTAAAATGAGGACCCAGGTTATTGGGGCAATAGGCTGACTCTGTAACCTGCTTAGAGAGGACTGAAAAAGCACTGTGAAGCGGTATATAAGCCTAAGCGCTATTGCAATGACATAAACCCTCTTCAGTCTTTCCCATTGTGGAAACAGTCTTCTGTGATCTTCAGTGAGAGAGCAACCCCAGAACAAAACGCAATCATTTGCACATCAAGCAAACCATCCACATTTATTTCTATTCACTTCTTTAGCTCCAAAGCTTACCTGAACATTTGCTCACTGAAGCCATGGATTATTACATCCTTCCTGGATTTAAAAGTTCTCTTCCCCCTAAAGATGGAAGGCGGAAAAAAAGGATTCATTTAGTTGCGCAGTGCACTGCTACTTCAGAATTCTCTTTAACTAGACAGCCTGTGCCCCTGTTGGGTTATTTCAGAGATATCCCTGCTCTGACCGAGGCTTCCCAAGAGCACGAAGCAAACTACTTGTCCCGACAAAAATCCCTTTTATTAATTTACTGTGAATTCTGCTCATTCACATCCAGCAAAGTCTTTCAAAGGACGATTTTCAGTCACAGACTTTATCTGGCTTGGAGATCTGACAGGCCGATATCTGCAGAACTCGAAGAGTCACGAACCCATTAAGCGAACTAATTGTCTCCTGCAAACTCCACTCCCCTTTTGTTCCTCTTTTATTTCCTCTGGGAGGGGCCATTCACCATCTACCTGTGGCCTTACTCCCAAGTTGACCCCTGTTCTTTAGCTGTTCCCTTTGTCTGGCAACTCTGCACATGCGCACACTGGGAACAGGCTCCAGCTGTTCCTCTGCCTCACTGATGTCTGACTCTGAAGGCAGCTGATAACTGGCATACGGCTCTGGCCCCCTCTCTGCCTTCGACACAGAGCCCTCATCAGAGCCTTTCCCAGACTCCAGGATTGACCCATGTCCCTCCCCAACCTCCATACTGTCCAAATCTGCTGCCAGCTCTGCTGGCGGGCCACAACAATTTCCTATCTAAACAGAAAAACAGAAGGACAAGAGGGAGATTTTTAAAAAGAAGTGGAAGAAACTTTCTGATTTCCCAATGGCTTCCCCATTGACTTTCCCCATAGGAAGCCAGCAGGAGGTGTTGAAAAGAACCATCAGACCGACTACGCTAACATTGAAGGAGCATTGAAGCAGTCACAACTTTGCCAAATTTCAATCCCGTGGGAACTGGATTTTTGAGTGCATTTTGTAAGTGCGTCCATTTGAGGTACACAAGTTCAAAAATTGTAGCCCTGGGACTCACTGTTTATCTGAGGTGAAGGTTACAAACAACCAAACAGACACAAGAGTTTTAGTAATATATGGACTTTGGCCACTCAGAGTAAAGCACTTCAGAAAGGATATATCAAAAGGAATAAAAACAAATAAGCAGTCTAAGGCAGGACCCATTCTCCTCCCTTACCCTGGCTCAGCACAGATATTGATGTAAAGGCAATCGGGGGCAACATGTTGGCGATAGAGATGGAGACAAGAACCGCTAAGTTCTTCAACGTCATTACTTAGCAAGAGAATCGTATCCACCTGGAGTTGGGAAAAGAGAAATAAGGGAGCTCTGTAACATGCAGGGACTCATCACGCTGATCTGCAGGTGTTAAAACTCCAAGTCTGTAGAGAAACTAGATTTTTTTTAAAAATCCTTCCATTCCCCACTATCCTATCAGAGCTGAAGAAGCTTCTTGGATAAGAAGCGAAACGTCTTCGAAAGAAAGAACAAGAAAGTCCAGTTGCCTCCTGAAAAAGCACCTTTGGGTTAAAATGCCAAGGCAATGGCTTATGTTCTTTTTGCAACTCCCTCCCCACCCCGCTTTTCCATTAAGTGAAGATCTAGACAGCCTTCAATTCCATGCAGCCAGCAGATCCATTCATCAAGTTTTCCCCAACCCAAACCTGTGTACAGTTGCTGAACAATAACCCCACCCCCACCCCATCAGGACCCTGTTGATGGGATCATAGGAAGTTGTAACCAAAGCTGAGTGTTGTTACAAAAGCTATAAAAGCTTTCCCATCCTAAACCCATTTTTCCGGCTGGCCCAAGAAAGTGCAAAGACTTTGATTTCTTTTGCTGTGAAAAATCAAGTTTACCATTGTAAAAAAACCAAAACAAATCCTTGTATGAGATCCAAAAGAATGGTCATCCAGAACCTAAACTGGATCTAGTTTACACCAGTGCCATGCACTAGACAGCACTATTTGTTTGCTATCTTCAAACCCACTCGGCCATTGATACAATCCATGGTTATCCATATTTATCTGGAGAAGAGCAACTAAGGTGCTCTAGAAAAATTAAGGCAGAGAAGCAGTGATTGTTTCACTGAAGACACCTGTTCTAAAGGCATCTTCATTCATTAATCTGATGGATTTTTAATCAATCCTTTTGTCCAGACTGTTCTTCCAATTGAAGGCTTCCTACATTGTTACAATGGACTTACATGTTCCCGCACAATCAGGAGGCGGCAAGTTCGATCCTAGGTAGAGGCAGATATCTCTCTCTCTCTGGGCACAATGAGAGTATACCTGCTGCGTAAAGCTCCGCATTGGCGACAGGAAAGGCATCTGGCCAATTAAATGCTCTGGTTCGCTCCATTCAGTTTCCCAGGCTCCACCCCGCAAGGGATTATGGGGTTGTTAAATGATGACGACGACTTACATGTTCCCGCCGAATCAAGAAATCCTTGATGACGTCCGGTGCCATCCAGTCATCACTGTAGTAAATTGTTCCGTACTGGAAGAAGAAGCATTGGACACATCAACCACTCCTGGATCGATTTTTGCAAATGTGTCAGCCGCAAAGAATTAGGACCATTCATGTAAATAGAACTTAAACTTATATACCGCTCCTTAGTGCATTACAGCAGAGTCTCACAATGTCTTTGACTTTACAGACTGGTTTGGGGGTGGGGGTGGAGGGGATAATTTCGTACGAGCGGCCAGCAAATGCACACGTGCATGCAGCTCCATTTGTGCAAGCGGCATCCACGTGCGCCTGCCTCTCAAGCAAAGGGAGCGTGTGCACACGTGCTCGTCCACTTATCACACAAGTATGGATGTGCATGCACGTACACACGCTTGCTGGCCGTTTCCATGGCCGATTGCAATCCCCTCACGGCCCACTAGTGGGCTGCAGCCCAAAGGTTGGGGACCCCTGCTTTACAGCACTTTCTGAGCGGTTTACAGGGTCAGCACATTGCCCACCACAATCTGGGTTTTCGTTTTACCGACCTTGGAAAACTTGGAAGGTTGAGTCAACCTTGAGCTGGTTAGGATCGAACTCCTGACTGTGGGCACAGTCAGCCTGTAGTACTGCATTCTAACCACTGCGCCACTAGGGCTCCTATTATTTCATTTCATTTTATTTTTTTGCAGCATAAATACAAATCGATTACAGTATAAATGATTTATTGAGGTCTACACACAAGAATCTGGACAACTGTCAGCACTAAATTGGCGTGAGATAGGAATGGAATGGAAATAAAGGAGGACTTGGATCCCTTGTGGCAACGTAAGGATTCTAAACTGATGACACATTTTACTCCGCCCCCTCCCAGCTCTGCCTGCTCTTTTCGTACAAAATGGAACTCTTCTGTAGATTCACTATCCTGCTAATCAGCCCAGAAGGATCCATGACTCACAGTCTCTCACGTAGTCATGTCAGTTTCTCTTCCTACTTTATTATATAAGGGGCGGGGGTGGGGGAGAAGAGGGAATTCTTCTTCCCCTCCGCCCTTCTCTCCCATTGTTTTCGCAATCTTCATTGTGGAAAGTTATTCACCCATCACAAAAATTCCTTTGGGGAGGAAAGCAATGCTATGCTTACTTACCCCAAACAAAATCGTAGGAGAAAGTTGAAGAAATTAAAGTCAGAGAACAGAACTAGGTCTGAAGAAATTAAAGTCAGAGAACTGAACTAGTTGCTTAAGGGGAGCATCTCTGTTTGTTGGCTCCCCTTAAGTCCCCTTGCCGATTCACACACAATAACTTATTCACAATTGATAATTCACGATTCTACAATAGAATCTCCTCTGCCACTAGGCTCAAAATTTTGGGCTTGGACAACGTGTAACTGCGCCGTCTGCGGTATGATCTAAGTACACAAAATTATCTGCTATAACGTCCCACCTGTCAATGACTATTTCAGCTTCAACCTCAATAATACTCGGGCAAACAATCGATACAAACTCGTAGTAAACCACTCTAAACTCGATTGCAGAAAATACAACTTCAGCAACAGAGTGGCCAATGCCTGGAATGCTCTACCTGACTCTGTTGTTACATCCTCAAACCCCCATAACTTTAACCTTAAACTGTCCAGCGTGGACCTCACTAAGAGATACATAAAGGGGGTGTGCATAAGCACACCAGCGTGCCTACTATCCCTGTCCTACTATCCCCATTTATTTGTATAAATTTCTTTCGTTCATTTCCATGTTTATATTTATACCTGCTATCTTGTACATGTTTGACGAACTAATAAATACAAGTACAAATACAGTGTGTGATTATTCATATTTATCTGGGTAAAAGCAAAAGAGGGTGAACTCTGAAGTCAAATCCTTGCCCCCAGCCTAGTGTCTCTCTCAAATCCAGGTCTTACCACGCTCTGTATGGTTTGCACATCCTTCAGCACAGAACCGGTCATGGGAATAGCCCCCACGATATCTGAAAAGTTGCAGAGGAAAACCTTAGCCTGCTCACAGACCGAATATAACATGGAGGCCAGCAATATGGCCAAGTCTCGGACCTAAAGAGAGAAGGGAAAAGTGACGTTAATAGAGGCACGTCAAGCAATTACTGAGACTGTCATCTGCACCTCTATAAATGTCTGGTTTGCCAGACTCTTTCTAGGAGCCTGGGGAGGGTGAAAAAGGCCTTCTCCACCACCCGGAGGCCCTCCGGAGGCCAAAAACGGCCCATATGCCAACTTCCGGTCAGACCAGAAGGTCCGTTTTTCACTCTCCGCAGGCTCCAGAGGCTTTCTAGGAGCCTGGTGAGGGTGAAAATGGCCTTCTCCACCACCCGGAGGTCCTCTGAAGTCCATTTTTGGACTTCCAATATGCACATTGGGCTGTTTTTCTCCCTCCGGAGGCTTCAGGAAGCTTCCCTGAAGCCTCCGGAGGGCGAAAAATGGCCGAAAATCAATTCCGAAATCAGCTGGCCAGCACACACATCCGCGCTGGAGCTGACAGGGCAACACCTCGCATGCCCTCAGAAATGGTTCTGCATGCCACCTGTGGCATGCGTGCCATAGGTTTGCCATCACAGCCCTACAAAATTTCTGACAAATGGCAATCCAATCTCTTCTTGAAAGTCTCAAGTGATGAAGCCCCCACAACTTCCAAAGGCAACTTCTGTTCCATTGGTTGATATTGTTCTCACTGTCAGAAAGTTCCTCCTTGTTTCTAGGTTGAATCTCTCCTTGTTCAGTTTCCATCCATTCTTCCCTCTCTGGCTTTCAGGTGCTTTGGAAAATAGCTTGACCCTCTCCTCTCTGTGGCAGACCCTTAAATATTGGAACACTGCTATCAATTCTCCCCTGGTCCTTCTCTTCACTAGACTAGCTATGCCCAGTTCCTGTCACTGTTCTTATGTTTTAGCCTCCAATCCCCTAATCATCTTTGTTGCTGTTCTGTTCTTTGTTGCTGTTTTTCTAGAGTCTCAACATCTTTTTATAGTGTGGTAACCAAAACTGGATGCAGTACTCTAGGTGTGGTCTTACTAAGGCTTTATAGAGGAGTATTAGTACCTCACTTAATTTTTATTGTATCCCTCTGTTAATGCAATTTAGGATTGCATTAGTTCCTTAGCTCTTTGTCTTTAAGAGAAGGAACACACTTATGACTCACAATTGCACTTAGTCCAATATTGGCTGGGTTTTTTTTTTTATTAAGCAAGCTTCGCTTTAGTTTAGACTTGGATGGGAGACCACTTGGAAAGCTGAGGGATACAAAAGACATCCCCAAGAGTAAAATGGGACTTACATGATGCCTCAAATATCAGAAATGAAATGAAATCAAAATAGAGCTGGAAGGGACTTTGGAGGGCTTCTAGTCCAGCCCCCTGCTCGAGTTTATGCCAATTGCCATGCAACCAAATTTCGACGTGCGGATAAGGAGTTCCTTATTTCTTTGTCTTTAAGTGATGGAACAAGCCTATGACTAATACACTTAGCCAATATGTTTTTGTTTTTTTTTATTAAGCAACCTTGGCTTTGGTTTAGACTTGGATGTCTTTCATATCCTTTGGCTTTCCAAGACCACTTGGAAAGCCAAAGGATATGAAAGACATCCCCCAAGAGTAAAATGGTGATCACTTGACTCCAAGATGCCTCAGACATCATCAATGAAGTGAAATGAAATGAGAATAGAGCTGGAAGGGACCTTGGAGGTCTTCTAGTCCAGCCCCCTGCTCAAGTTTATGCCAGTTACTAACTACCCAAATTTTGATGTTTGATGGATTGCTGCAGTAGTACACTGTTGTACACTGAGAGCATATGCACCAAAGACAAATTCCTTGTGTGTCCAACCACACTTGACCAATGAAGAATTCTATTCTAATCTATTCTATTCTATCCTATCCTATCCTATCCTAGTTGTAAATCCAAGGACCAGTCTTAAGTCTTTTTTTCCCAGCACCGTCGTAACTGGTAACCAAACGACATGCTGTATGTAATGGATGAGAATTTTTTTTATGTTTTTTTTTTATGCTTCAAAATAAAAAAAAATAACAACAACAGCAATAACTATCATGTTGAAAAAAACAGACGAGGGCAGAAAAAGAGGGTGAACTGAATGACAACTATTAACTGTTTACCAACCGTCATGGGACTCTTCTGGTTGTCATTCTTGTCATCAGTTGGGCAATACATATTTTTGGCTTGAACGCAAGACTTCCCAAATTGATAGCTGCTGGAGATCAAGATGAGAGTCCTCCCAGGAATGGGGTTCATATTATGCTTCACTGATAACCCAACTGCTGTCTCCAGAGCCTGGCAATAGCGTTGCAGGATGTCAGCGGTGTAGCGGATGTCTCTGTGAGGTACAAAATTGAGAAAGAAATCTCAACGAACAGAGTGGTAGCATCAAGAACATGTGAAGTGTTAATACTGAGAGAGAGAGAGAGTTAAGTGAGTTTTGCCCCGGGATGGGCTTCCAAAATTGTAGCAATGTATTCATTGTCCTGTTACTGGGTGGGCATAGCCATGGTGGACGTGGCCTAGTTGGCCACCTGCACCACAGCTGGGGGGGGGACGATTTTCACCCTCCCCTGGCTCCAGAGGCTTTATTTGATCCTCCAGGAGGGTGAAAACTGCTTCCCTTAGGCTCCGGAGGCCCTCTGGAGGCTGGAAACGGGTTGTTTCCAGACTTCCGGAACTTCAGATAGGCCCATTTCCCCCACCCTCCCCGAACCTCCAAGCGGGCCCTGCACTTACCTGGCATGATGAATGGGCTGCGTGGAGACTCCTGGGAGGGGCAGGGTGAGAGGGATGGGCATGGCCAGCCAGAGGTAGCATTTGGGGGTTCGCCGAACGGGGCAAGATCCTAGCTGGCGGATGGCCCGAACCCGTGCGAACTCCTAGCAGTCCACCCCTGATTTTGCCTTAACCACCTTTCCTGTCACAGTTGTTAGGGGAAATCACTACAGTAATTAAGTCAGTAACATGGCTGTTAAGTGAACCTGGCTTCCCCATTGCCTTTGCTGGTCAGAAGGTCGCAAAAGATAATCACATGACTCCAGGACACTGCAATTGACCTAAATACATGCTGGTTGCCAACCATCCAGTTTGGATCACGTGAAAACCATGGAAATGCTGCAGTGATCAAACGTGTGAAAAGCGGTCATAAGTCACCTTTTTTTTAAATGCTGTTGTAACTTCGAACGGTCACTAAACCATAACGGGTGGTTGTAAGTCAAAGAACTACCTGTACACCTCTGAGTGAAGGATGCGGAAGATGCAGAAGATCAAAGCAGCAACCCTCAGCCTAGAAGTCACATTTAACTGGGAGGTGCTGGAAGATTGAACTAGGCTGACTTTGGATTTATGCCAGTTACTAACCACCCAAATTTTGATGTGTGGATACTGCAATAGTACACTGTTGTACATCAGGCCAAGATGTACTTCATTGGTCCGTGTTGGGCTTCAAAATTTATGGTCTAAGGCAGGGGGTCAAACTCAAGGTCCGGGGGCCAGATGTGGCCCTCGGAGTGCTTAAATGTGGCCCATGGGGCCACCCTGCAAACAGCGAAGGAACGGGCGTAGTGCCTCTGCCAGCAAAACCAGAGTCCGGGAGGGTTGTAGGAGGCCATCGCAGCCACAAATGGAACTTGGGAGCCCTTTTTTGCTGGCAGAGCACTCATGCCACCACAGGCACCCCCAACATGGGAGAGGTCAAGCTGGCCATGTCCACACTGGCCACTGCCCCCCGATCTCCCAAGGTCAAACACAACCCTCATGCGACCCTCAATGAAATCGAGTTTGACACCCTTGATCTAAGACAGTGGTCACCAACCTTTCAGACCTCAGGGACCACTAACTTCATAATTTTAAATCTCGCAGACCACTAATGTATTCTGCCTAATGACCGGGTGGTGGACTGGGTGGGTGTGGCTAAGTGGTCATGTGACTGGGTGGGTGTGGGCAACTCAATGTCACCCATGTCAAGGAGTGCCTCACTGGTCTCTATGTGTCCCTACCCTCCCAGGCCCTCCTCACCTAGGGCCCTAACAGGAAGGAGTTGCTGGAGCTAAGCAGCCACCATGAGAAAGAGTTGGCAAAACAGCTCAGTTCAAATTGGATCTGA